ATCTTACTCAATCTCTCCCCAACCCCAAGGTCAGTCCTATTCTACAACAGTGGAACCATGAAATATTTGTCCTTTTGTGACTGTGATATTTCACTCAGCATAATGTTCTCCAGAGTCAGAATATTTTTTTATTAAATAGAGAAATACAGCATTAATTCTTCTGAACAAAGAGAAAGATAAAGAGGCCAACGCTAGACTTTCTTCAAAATATAATTGTTCCATTGGGGTGTTATTCTTTATTTCAGTTGAAGGTCAATTTTTAAGCCAAACATCAACAGTGAGGATATTCCTGACTAGGGGTATCTCTGATTCAAGGTTTTATGGTTTGTTGTTGTTTTTGTTGTTGTTATGTGTCCTCAATTCAGAACTGACTCATAGACAACCTGCCAGATGATTTGCAGGCACAGTTTAATCCTTCGGGAGGAAATTGTTCATCTTTCTCTCTCAGAGGGACTGGAGTATTCAAGTTGCATGTCTTTGGGATTGCAGGGCAATTTCTTACCACTAGGTCACCAAAGCTCCCATCTCTCTATTATAGATACCCAAATTCTATCCATGAATGAAAATATAACAGCATCAAGCCCTTCCATGTTAGAACAGAATCTGAGTCACTACTATTTGTTTGTTTATTTATGTATTTATTGTTAAATGCATTTAAACATAAAAAAAACCCTTACATTTTCCCAGTGAAAAAGGGAAACACATAGTTCTATTGAGACAAACCTGATCTTATAAAAACTTGTTTCTGGGAAATAATTTTTATTTATACTTCTTGTTACCACTAAAAGCTCAGGTAATACAGCTCTAGGTCTGACTCTGCATTTGAACAATTTCTAAGGAGAAGCAAATTGGCCAAAAAAGAGGATGCACTTTGAGGCATTGTGTTGGATAAAGAAAAGAAATGGATGGTTGGCAGTGAAATTCCTGAAACGGAACCCACCACATAATGGCACAACCACAACTTTTGTGGTACCCGCAGCCTCTGTACTCTCTTCATTAACTTCCACAAAGGATTGATGAACAACATCTGATATAAAAAGATCTGTGGCTCCTGATATGCCAGACAGATCTGCCTTACTAGGATTAAATATATCCTGCACATCCAGGTGGGCCAAGTGGGATTTGAGATTGTAGCTTTCTTCAAGCTTGAATCTAGGCACTCTAACTTCCATTTTATCCACCTTCAAATTATTAGAATTGATCCATTCATTCAGTTTATCCCAAGTCAACTGTTCCTCAATCTAGAATGAGAAGAGAAAAAAAAAAGGGAATAAACTCAATCTCATTTAAAATAATTGTTATTGTTAATTGCCTTTGAGTTGAGCACGACTCATAGCTACCCTACAAATAAAAGGGCTTGAATTATCTCTATAACTATCAACATTTATCAAAGTTCATAGACGTTCTGGAGGCATGTTGCTACAAAGTAGATGCCACTCTTGCTACCAACATATAATAAGTAAAATAAAAACCCATCATGGTTACTAGTCTTTAAATAAATGGACACATATATTTTGTCTACTTTGTTTCCTTCACCTTTATGCAAAATCAGATATTTTGGCAAGAATTTAGTTCCTTTTGAAAATTGATAGCAATAGTTGATAATAATAACAACAGTCAAGTTCCAGGTCTTCAAAGTCCCAATGATAAGGACTTGGAATGAAGAAGGTCATTATTCATAGCCATCCATATTTCTTTCATCATCGATTTGCCATCCATTCACTCACTCAGAATTTACCAAGTCCTAATCACACATGGATCACTGTGATAAGCCAACATGATGCTAATTGTCAGAGTGCTAAATGGTGGAGTGATACAAGGATATATTGAAACATCTTCTTCTCTACATTTTTAACTCCATTGTGGCTGGTGAAACTCAGTGGAGCTAAGGAAATCAGTGCTAATAAATTTAGTCCCAATGGTTTAGTTAGTAAGAATTACAACACCCATCCAAAGTCAGTTAGTTCCAATAGACAAACTGCTCTAAAAGAAAATGAAGCAATATACTTTTATAGGATTTATAGTGTCTGAAAACTCACTGGAGGGTCCTCTAAGAGTTGATTCTCAATTGATGGCAATGAGAATTGAGAAACTGAGGTGAAATATAAAATTCAGGCAGTATGCTAGGCCTACATCTTCATGTGAAATAGAGAGAATGAAAATGTTCTCCTTTTAGTGTTGGTGGAGCATTACATAATTTAATCTCTATAAAGTACTTGGCATTCAGAAAGTGCTACATTAAGACCCTTAGGAAGATGAATGGACCTAGTGGCTTCAACAATGATTTCAAGTGCAGCACTGATTGTGAGAATTTCACAGGAACCAACAGTGTTTCATTCTATTGTTCATGGTATTGGTATGAGTCACAGTCAGCTCAATGTCACCTAACAACAACAACATTATCATATTACTGTTATTATTACTCTCAAACTTTAATGAAACCATTGTTCCACTCATCCTATTCAAGTAAAGCTTATTATGAGAGAAAGGGGTTTTTTAAAAGTCACAAATAATACAAATATAAAAACTGCATTAAAATAAGCAATGCATTAAATTTCATACATACAATATAAGTGTAAATAACTAATATTAGACCCTATTCCTAACAGAACACTTGACTTCTATAAAAGTGCACACATTTTGAACCAATTAACTCTATTAATTATCATAAGTAATACAATTAAACTTTTTAAAAATCACACAGCATAGTAGGAACATCATAGAAAAATTTGTCCTAGTTCTAGCCCTAAGATGAGATAAAACAAACAAAAAGAACCCAAAAAACCAAACATCTTATTAGTCAAAAACCATTGAGTCAGAACAACCTAATAGATGAATTTTCAGAAGCTTAAAGTCTTCCAGAAGGAGATCGCCATCTTTATTTCTCAGAGTAGATGTCAGAAATCTAAATTACATATACTTGAAAGCATATGTAATGGTTATATTAGGAAGGAGGTAATGTTCCAGTTACCACTTCTCTTCTATCATGAAAGTTTTGCAAATATAATTCATGATCTAAGTGGGTGAAGGCTAAGGGCAGGGTCGGGTCAACACTGTAACTAATGGTTAAATCCACAATAAAGGATTTATCTTTCATTGCTCCACAAATTGCTTGTCTCTGAGATACTCCTCTAAATCTAAATATTCAGATTAAGACAGACTAAGAAGAAGGATTAGCCATCCACTTCTGAAATATCAGTCCTCTGAAAACCCTCTGTACAACAGAACACACATAGAATAACAGAAAGGGCAACCTAGGTAGAACTTTCAAGTATGGAAATACAAAGTAAGAGGAACAGTTGTAAGCAGACAATAGTGCACTAGTGATGGGAACATGGAATGTAAGAACCATGAATGTAGTAAAATTAGAAATTATTAAGAAAGAAATGGAATGCATAAATATTGACATACTAGGCATTGGAGAGATGAGATAAACTGGCATGGGGCATTTTGAGTCAAATGATCATATGATATACTACTCCAGAGATGAAAAGGAGAGGAAAACTAGGGTTGCCTTCATAGTTATAAAAGTCATTTCTACATCCATCTTGAAGTACAACATTGTGAGTGATAGGATTATATCCATACGCTTACAAGGAAGTCCAGTTAATACCACTATCACTCAGATATATGCACCAACAACCAGAGCCAAAAAAGAAGAAATAGATGATTTCTACCAACTCTTACAGTCGGAGATAGATCGAACATGCAATCAAGATGC